GGGGGGGGGGGGCGGGGGGGGGGGGGGGGGGGGGGGGGGGGGGCTTCACGCTCGTCTCTGCCAGGGAGGCTAGGGGCGCAAAGGGCCGGGAAACGGAAGGGAAGGCCATCCGGATAGAAGAACGAAGTGAGGGCCACTCGGGAGAGAGAGCTGGGGCCCCCCTCAACACTGAGGACAACACCTACGAGGCTGAGAGGCTCTCAACCGTAGATGGAACCAAGGTGGCCTGCCTCTATCCCTGACCCTTTTCCTTCCTTCTTGGTCACCTCTCCCTCCAAAAGGGAAGTTGTCCACTTTGCTGAGGGACTGCATCAACAGATTGCGGAGGCCAGCAAGGTCCCGAGAGTATGAAAAAAAAGCCAGGATCCTGGGCAGAAAGCTCAAGATGGGGAGGGGGTAATTTGTCCAGAAAGCTCAAGGTGGTAGGATTCACCAAGCAGGTGGTGGGCAGGCAGCAGTCGGGGCAGAAAGTGACTGAGTAACTCGGTAGAAACCGCCCTGACTGCTCTGGATACAGCAGACTATGGACCCAGCCTGGGGTCTTCAACTTGGCTCCTATGAGGAAGAAATATGGATAAGGATAGTGGAGCACTCAGCCGGAGAGATGGGGTAGAGGAGCCTGGCATGGCAGCAGATGCTGGGACCCCAGGATGGGGACCAGTCCTAGGAGTTGGAGGATTCCAGCTTGCAGGTATGTGGGTTCCCACAACACAATGGGGTCAACATTGCATCTTGGCTATAGGCGAAGGTCTAAGAACAGGAAAGTCATGTAGGAGGTCTGCAGTAAACCTCCTAGTGCTACACTTATGCCCTGGAGACTCTTGGTTATAATTCTTACACAGTGCACTTACTGAGCACCTGCTGTATACAGACAGTATACTAGACACTCTCTGCAGCCATGAGCCAGACCTGTTCTTCCACCTTCACATAAGCAAATGCCTTCGTGAGTATGAACCTTGGGCAACACTAACAGTGTTGTGCCAGGGCGGGAGAGATGAAGCGGGTGTGACCCTGCCTAGCCCAGTGGGCTAGGCCAGGCCTGCAGATGGCTGTACCCTCGGTGTACATGAGATCCCATCTCCCTGGCTGTTTTCTGAGGTCCCTGCCTTACTGCTCAGTGCCAGGGTGGGGGGGGGGCAGTGACAGAAGGGGCTGTAGGAATTCCTCTTGAGATGCTGGTACTGAAAAGAGGGATTGCAGGTGGGAGTGAAGACCCCATCACGGCCCTGGCATGGATGAGGTGTTTTTATCAGACTGGCCTTGTTCCGGGTAAGTCTAGCTTACTGGGGGTGGGAGGGCAGTGGCAGGGGGACCAATAAGGCAGCAGCCTCTGGTCCAGGTGAAGGCATCTGGAGCCAGGGCAGCAGAGAGGAGTGCCCTGCTTCTGAAGATGTCTTGAAGGTAGTTAGAGTGGAGCTGTGGAATGGGAGCATTGTGGGCAAAGGAAACTCCAAGGCCAGCAAAAGAGAAGCTGCTGGGGCCAGGGAATGGAGAGCTTGATCTGGGACAGGTTGAAGTCTTCAGGACCAGTGGGGAGCACTGTCTCTGACTGAGATAGACTCCGGGATGTAGTAGTTAGAGCCAAAAGAGTAGATGGAATTGCCAAGGAAAGGAGGAAAGGAGAGATGGAGGAAGAGAGGGAAAAAGAAAAGAGGAGAGGGGAGAGTAAAGGGGAGGGGAGAAGAAGAGGAGGGGAGAGAAGAGAGGAGATCCAGAACCGAGCCTGAGGCCGGCCATCTGTCCTTGACAGGTCAGGGAGAGGAGTCGCTAGGGAGGGGACCAAGGAGGAACAGAGAGGGGCTGAGCCAGTGCTATCAGTGGGTCACAGTCAAATGAGGCCTGAGACTGACCTCAGCTTTAGCACCGCGGAGGTCATCAGTGACCTTGACCTGAGTTGCTTCACAGGGAAGTACAGAAACTAAGCCTGATTAGAGTGGGTTCAAGAGCAAATGGGAGAGAGATTTGGAGGCAGCGCGGATGAGTGACCTTCTGGCGGAGTTTTGCTATAAATGAAGAGCAGAGAAGAGGGGCAGTCACTACCAGGGACGTGAGGTTGAGAGCGGAAACAGAGCCACCCACCTCTGCGGTGAAGGCTGAGAAAAACCTGAGGTGGGAGGGAGGCTTGGCCACCCACATCTAAGGAAAGCCTGAAAGGGGGGGAGGGCAGCTTGGGGTGTGGCTGGGTAAGAGAGAAGAGCGGGCAGCTGGCCTTGGCTGGGAGTGGAGAAGGTGACTGGAAGCGGGGTCAGTACCATCGGTACCGGAGTCCTCCTGTGATGACTGCGGATTCCTGGAGAAAGAGGTTCACAGCTGAGGAGGGGCACAGAGAGAGAAGGCCCCTGGCTGCTGCTTAGGACAGAAGTCAGGCAACCAAGGAAGTAGCCACCTGGCCTGCTGGAGTACCCTACAGGCAGCTGTTAAGAGGGTGAAGGCCTGGTTCTGTCTGCCAGCTTTAGTGGACACAGGCAAGGGTGAGATAGCATTGGGGAGAGGGATTTGCCAAGTAAGGAGAGGAAAAGGAGAAGGCTGGGGTGGGGTGAGTGAGACAAAGCTGGGAGTGCAGGCAGATGGTTTAAAAACAGAGAATGTGGTTCCGCCAAGTAGGACAGGAGCTTCCTCAAGAGAGAGAACCCAGAAGAATCCTGAGGTCGATATAGAGGAACCATAGTCTACCTGCTGATCAGGTCGTGACCATGCTGGGGAAACAGACTCCTAGGAGCAGAAGAATCCAGAGGCACGAGCCACTCTGTGGGATGACAGGAAAATGGTGACCAGAGAGGGTGATGTCCCCATAGGGGTGGAGGGCTGAGGTCCTGGGGTCCTAGAGGTGTGGCCAGAGCAAAGGAGGTTGTGTGTCTGTTCTCCCCCTAGAGGGCCAAGGAGAGAAGAAGCAGGAAGGAGCTCAGCTAGGAGGAAGAGCCCTCAGCTGACTGGGCCCCGCCCCCACTTTCTGGATCACTTCTCCTAGTTCTCACACACCCTCCCCCACTTCTTCACTCATCCTCTGAGTGTCTCACCTGGAGTGGCCACAGGGGGCGGGGGCAGACCAGTGGGGCTAAGATGCCCAGAGCAAGGGGAAGCCATGTCAGAAGCTAGGGTCTCACTTTTGTTTACCTGGCTACCCAGGAGACTGGGAGGGGTCTTTTGGAAGACAGAACCTTGCATTTAAAGGGGCCTCATCTGGGGGGGGGCCTGGGGCCCAAGGGTGGGATTCATAAGAGTCAGAAGGTGACTGTGTGTCCCGTCTTGTCTCAGCTCGATCTGGTAGCCACATCCCAGCCTGTGCCCACAGGGCTGCTGAGAAATGGATTCCCCTCAGATTTTCCTGCCATGGGCACCCCAGGATTGTCCCCAGAACCCAGAAGCCCAATCATCAGCTCCCATCCCAACTCTAGATTTGGATCCAACTAGGTCTCCTATCTCAGAAAGCCTCTGTGGATTTGTGTCCATCCTGCACGCGCGCGTGCGCGCACACACACACACACATACACACACACACACACACACACGCCCTAATGGACATAGCACCAGAAGAAGAATCAGGGATGTGGGGCTGCCAAGGTAAGAAACTCTAGCGGGAACTACTGTGGGCAGCCAGGCTTCCTGCCATCAGAACACTGAGCACTGTAGTATAGCCATTCTGTGGTGCCACCCAAAATATTCACAGTCCAGCAAGGCCATAATTCCTGAATGAGGCTGGGCTGTGTGGCTCCCATCCATCCATCCATGCCTGCAGGCTGTAAGAAAGCCCAGAAGCCAAGGTAACTTTAGAAGAAGTGAATGTCCATGCCTGTAACTGGGAAAAGAAGACCCAACCTCCAGCCATCATGTGAGCAAGTTCACTGCCAGGGGCTGTTTGTTACACAGCTGCACCACAGTAGGAGAATGGGCCCACCTTCATGGAAGAGTCACCTACACACACACCCGTCCTGTAGGACTTTGCCATCCTCCACAGAGCAAGCACACTCTTGCCCTTCAGTACCACTTTCTGTCCCCTTCCAAGATGCCCTCCTGGTCGGCGCTGCACCTCCAAGTCCACGGAGCCTTCATGGGAAGTCACCAATCTGAACTGGTCCCTCCTTGACTTGTGTGGCTTCCTGTGTCATAAGAAGTATGTCTTGCTCTAGGCAGCCCATACCAAGACCATTCCCTTTTCTCTGCTCAGTCATGGCGGGAGGGCTGAAGTTCAGATCCCCAAACAGCCACAGCCCTCCTTCCCCCATCTTCACCCAGATTTGGCACAAAAGAGCCCCACAGAGGCTGGGCTCAGAGTGAGAGACTCGCACTCACTGTGGCCTAGGTCATCATGTCTCTTCCAGAGCTTCTGTTTTCCTGTCTGTAAAATGCGCCTAGAAACAGTCTACCTACGTCTAACCAAGAAGACAGGCAGACTTCTGAGAAAGGGTGGGATGCACCTTGCTCACATGACTTCCTGGCTCCCCATATCACTCCACCTCAGCAGAGCTTTGGGTCTATGTCCCATGATCCCCACATATAAGCTTACACCCTCAATATGTCAGCGCGCCTTGGTTCATCTTCCAGAGCCGTGGGCCAGCAGCCCCCATCCTTCCCCAGCCCTAGCATCCGCATCCCACTTCCCACTGCTGGGAGTCTACCGGCTTCGTATGTTGTAGCCATGTTGTCCGGGAGTCTACGAGCTTCATATGTTGTAGCCATGCTGTCCGCTGCAGCAGCTCTTTTCCCTTAGCACAGGATCTTCAGGAGCAGCCCCACACCTGAGGCGTCAGCTTTCCTCCTCATTAAGAGCGAGATGGTATTCCCCTGGGTGCCTTGTCATGCGCCCCCATCCACCCAGCCGTAGATGGACGCACGTCGCCCCCGCACCCTGTCCTTGTGGCTGCCTCAGCAAACAAGGAGTGACACCTCCCGAGATCCTAATCTTGATGCTTTTGGATGTGTGCCCAGAAGGGCGATTACTAAATCATATGGCAGTGCTATTTTTAATTTTCTGAGGAACCTCCATACTGTTTTCTTGACTGGCTGCACCGTGTCACACTTCACCCACAGGGCAGGAGCATTCCCTCCTCCACACCCTCAGTCTTGCTTTCTGACAGTCCGCCCTGACAGGTGAAAACTGACAGCTCACGGAGGCTCTGATGGCCCAGCCTGGGTTTCCGGTGATGGAGACACCTGTTTGTGCACCTGCTAGCCAGGTGTCTGTCCACTCTGGAGGATGTCAGCCTGTCCTGCCCTGCCCTTTTGTCGGGGGTTATCTGTCTGTTGATGAGTTGAGTGTTTTCTTTCACAGTTTGGCTGTAACCCCTTACCAGAGAGACAGCTGCCAGTACCTTTCCCTGGCTGTGGGGAGCTGCTTCTGCATTTTGCCATTTCCTGTGCTTTGCTAGGTTTTTTGCTCAGATACTGTCTCTCCCACATCCATCTCCACCCTTTTAACTGCGCTTTTGGTTTTCCCTTCAGGAAGACCAATGTCCACCAGCTGCACACCCCCGCCCTGAGTTTTCTTCTAAAGGTTTTCCGAGCCTGAAGCTGATGTCTCCAGAGGGTGTGGGTTGGTCATAGGGCTGCACTGTATTGCTGAAAAGAGGGGTACAGGTGTGTACCTGGCCCCTCCATCAACATCAGCAACACACTCTCTCCCACTATGCCCAACACTCTTCAAGGGTCTGCAGCCCTAGAACTCAAACAAACCAGGACTGGCTTCCCAGAGACCAGGACTGGGGCATCCAGGAAGAGATAGGAAGGTGTACTGTGTTTCCTTAGGAAGAGGGCAAATTCCAGGGACCCCATGTTTCAGGGGGAAACAAAGAAACAAAAACAAAAACCAGCATTGCTGGAACACTGAAGGCTGGGGAAAGGTAGAGGATGGGCCTGGAAGCAACCAGGACTACCCTGTGTGGATCAGGTCTCTCTGCTAGGGGAGCCAGTATGCAAGGGTTTGGTACTGGGGTCCAAGACAAAACCAAAGTCTCCCCCCCCCCAAGGCGGTAAGACACTGGCCTCCCAGCCCGTAAGTCCCCGACTGCTGGCTTTCGGTTGGAGGAGGGTAATATAGGGGAGCAGCTCACTACAGGGGCTCCAGGGCTCCAGGCGGACTCCGTGGAGTCCCAGCCTTTGCATCCCCTCCTCAAACTTCCCCCACCACAGCCCTCTGACCACAGGCCTGTCTGTGACCACAGCACCACCTACTGGCCATATGAGGGAGCTGGGCAGCCCAGCAGGTGAGACACTGAGGCAGGACCCAGGAAAACGGGTTCCGGATGGCTACGGTTCTTCATCCCCACATTGGACTTGTTTAGTGTCCTGAGTTTGTGTCCTGCTTCTGCTACTAACAGCTGTGCTGCCTTAACCAATTTATGGCCGTCTCTGAATTTCATCCCAGATCAGGACAGTGGGCACATCTGACCTTTGGGTAACAAGAGGAAGCAATGGCCCCTACTAGACAGGGAGCCTACATCTGGCAGAAGCTGGCGGTGCTCACAGGCAGACTAACGCAAGCAAGGCACAACCAGGAGTTTGGCTGAATTCAGGTTTTCATGAACACTGTGGATGCTTGTGGCTCCCACAAAGTCACTCACTGGTACATAGTTTGGCAGCCACACAGATGTAGCGTACGGTAATGGTCTTAGCAGCACAGAGGACAGCGACACGGCCACAAAACCAGCAAGGGGGAGTTTGGGGACTCAAGATAATGCTTAAGCTTTCTGTGGCTTTATTTAGCAACCAATACCCAAAATTCCTGAAAATTCAGGAATCCCCCATGAAGCCTGCTTGGCTGGCTCCAACACACCTTTGGTCAGGGGACCCAGACAAAAATCTTTATGGGGCCCTTGGAGCCACCACACACTTGTAGAAGCCACAGAACCAGCTGTGCTGTGACCTCCCTCGTGGGTGGGTAGGTGTGAGCCTCCTTATGACAGGAGGCTTTAGGACCTCCAACAAACCTGGGTCCCAACTCTGCTGCTGAGACAGAACGCATGGCCTGGGGGCTCATGAGCATCAGGAAGTCTGGACCAAGCTCTGCCCCCATTGAGGACTGGTTTCTTGCTTTGTGTCCCGCACTCTGGGAGTGAGACTCAGCAACCCCCAACACTGAGTACTGTGACACTTAGCACCATCAGCCGGGACTGGCGCTGTTGCCATCTCGGCAGACTATTGTTGGACTGGGATGGTGGCTACCATTTAGCCCCAGAACCAAGATGCCACTAGCCTGTCCAGGCTCTGTATTGAGGTACTTTGCCCTCAATAAGCCTCAAAGCATCTCAGGAGTTGGGTAGACATGCTCCCGTTTCACAGGTAGGGAGACTGAGGCAGGGAGAGGCTGAAAAGCTGACACTGGGCCTCGGAGTCACTGGGCCTCAGGTCAGTAAAAGGTAGACTGGGCAGTTAGTCTATGGAGCAATTTGCCCTGCCCTCTACTTGGAACCTCAGCCTGACCTCACTCCAGCTGTGTCTGTGAGGGACAGTGGGGGGGGGGTCTATGCAACAGCACCCAGATGGGAGAGTATGGCACCTTGTGTGCTCAGCTAGAGCCCTCGAGAGCAGTCCCAGGCCCAGCCTAGGCCCTGCTATTACCACAGGGTCCTGGACTCATATAACAGATGGTCCACTCGTCCACAAATCACAGAGAATGTCTGAAGTCTGAGGACCAAGAGACGGACACGAGGCCTCACTGGGCACACTCATCCTCAATGCCTATATAGACCCAAGCACACACATCCCCAACCTGCCATCCCCAGATGTTGCTGGCTCCACACCACTATCCCTGGAAGGGTGCTGTGGACACTGAAGCCATTGTGACCTCAGGGTGAGGTCAGGGCCAGTTAGGGCACCAAGAGAAAGGACAATGCCCAGGACAGAGCTAGCCTGTTGGTGAGGATAAGGCTGTCAATTGGGACCTATGGGTCTCCTGCTCTGAGCCTCAGCATGGATGGGCAGCAGTCTGACAGGTCACACAGCCGCAACTCAACTGATGGGACCTCCTCAGCCATGTCCTACAACCCCAGGTCAGTTCAGCCACAGAAGCCATGGGAGAGCCAGGGGCCACGCATCCTACAGGCACCTGGCCTTTTCACCTTCCAGAGCAACACCCCAGAGGGTGCGTCCTGAGCAGGCTGTGCCAGCACAGTGTCTAGGGGGCCTCACCTCCAAGAGCAGCCCCTGAGGGACTTTGGGTGAGTCCTGTGAAGATGCTGCCCTCAGAGTAATGGGGTGAGTGGTATATCTGGACCACAAGCTCTACCCTTACCGTGGAGGAGAGGGTAGTAACTGCTTTTAAGGACCAGAGATGAAGATGGACAAGGGTCACAGCACAGTGTGAGCCAGGGAATGGAGAGCTGGACAGACAGGGACAGGCTGCTGCCTACTTCTGTGTCAGCTTCTTCAGGGTGGAGTGGGAGAAACACAGCAGCTTGTGTTCTTACAGACTTGACTATGAGGAGAGAAAAGAGCTACTACTGTTCATTCATCACATGTACATGTACAAACTCCTATACACACATACTCATACATATATACACACATATGAAGACTGTATGTGTATATAGATACACGCATACACATGCATATATACACATACATGCATGTATACACGGGTATACACATACACATGTATATACACACACATGCACACAAGTATATAGAAGTACACATAGGTATACACACACATACATATGTGCATGCACACATGTATATACACACAGGTACACGTGCACACAGATGAGGCACCCGCAGGATGGCTTTGCCCACAGATCACAGCCTTGGCCTAGCCTTCCAGGCCTGCTATTTGAGTTGACTCCTTCCTTTACCTCATAGTCCCCTGTATCTCGGCCCAGCCAACACTGTCCTTAGTTCCCTTGTCCAATCACTTGCTTCTGCATTCCACCCCATTGCAATGTCAACCCCATGAAGGAGGGGACGTTGAGAGCCACAGTTGCTGACAAACTTGGCTCCCAGATGTCAACTCTGCCTCAGTCCCGTGAGTCTCAGTGAGGACTCTGGCCACTCTGTGCAGTGACAGGGCACCCAGGACTGGACATCTTCCACCAGACTTGTCTCCCGCTGTTTCAGAGCAGACGTTCCCGATGGGATGGCTTCTGATGAGTGCCAGTTCCTAGCTCAATGACTGCCACCCTCCAGCTGCATGCCCACATGTGGGAAAGAGACACCCTCCTATGGAGACACTAACCCTATGCCTGGGCCCCATCCTCAGCACTCAGTTTGACCCCAATCCTCCATATGGTCCAGCCTCCAAGGATACAATGAGGCTTCCACCTGAGCCTGGGAGCAGTGGCAGAAGTCAGGACATAGCAGGGCTACAGCCCACTCCACAGCCGGGGCATCACTGCTGGCCAGTCACCTGCTCCCTTCGCTGCCCAACCTTGTAATAGTTCCTCCCCAGCTTGATCTCAGGATCAGGGAGGCAGTCTCTCCCAAGAACATCCTGCCAGGTCCAGAGGAGAAAATGGAAGGCATAGAAGTCCAGGTGTCCCCTGGAGTGCCCTCGGGTAGCCTACTACCTGAGCAAAAAGATTCTGAAGGCTATTACAGGGCTCTCTATGCAAAGATCCAGAGAGGCTGAGTTGCCTAGCAGTTGAGAATTGGTAAGGTCCTGACATTTATGCCACCTGACAAGCTAAAAAGGGGGTGAGCGTCAGGCTGAGGTTTCAGACAACTAAGTGAGACTTGAAAGAAGTGAGCTGCTGGGAGCTGGAGAGATGGCTCAGCAATTAGAGTGTGTACCGTTCTGTGAAGGACCTGTGCCTGGTTCCCAAGCATCCACATCAAGGAACTCACATCCTGTGACTCCAGCTCCAAACCATCTGACACCCTCTTCTGGCCTCTCCAGACACATGTACATATACATATATATTAAATAATTAACTTAAATTTAAAAAAAAAGAAGTGGTGGACCAGGAGAGAAGTGTGGGATGGAGTGGGGCCGGGCGGGGGTGGGGGGTTGTAGTGATCTCCAGATCAAAGAGAGCAGCCAGTGCAAATGTCCTGGGGTTGCAGCTTACCTGGTAGTTTAGAGCCAGCCTGAGCTCACTGGACTGGAGTGGAGTGAGCAGGAGGCAGGAGGAAATGAGACCCGTCAAGACGGGCTCCTTTCTACTCTCTTTTGTGTGTTCATTTTTTTTTCCTTTTCCTGCACAATCTTACTTACGAATGATAGAATTCACGGGTTTGAGTGTGTCCTGGACCACAGGTTAGACAAGAAACAGCTGTCTCCGAACACAGCCCCACACAGCCTGACAGTGAGTGAGTCCAGCTATGCTTGACCCAGGAGTCCCCGACCATTGTAACCTTTTCCATTATGTCAGAAAAATAACACGAAGTGTAGCCTTTGGGTCTGGTTTCTTTCACATGTCATACTTTGTTTCTGATGTCCTGTGTCATCGCTGATCTGTTTCTCCTGGATCCCTGGAATGTGCTATGGCTTGTTTTAAAAACACATCTGTATGCTTTGCATTTTTAGCTGTTGTAAGTCAGAGCACTATTAAATATCTGTGCGGGGACTTGTATGTGACCGTAACTCACTTGAGTGAATGCACAGGACCCGGGCTGAGTCGCATGCCCTCTGTGTGTTCAACTTCACCCAACTCTTAAGTGCAGCAGCTGGGAGCGGTGTGACAGCTCCACCCCAGCTCCGCAGGGATTTCCTACTTCCGCACTCCCACTGCTTTTGATGTATTCAGTTTTTCTGATTTTATTATTTTAGGCCTGCACAATGCTTCCCTGCTGAGGCCTTGGGTTTTTTTTTTTTCTGTCCTTCAAGGAGGACAGTATGGCCCTGTTCATCTGCTGCTCGGCCATCTGTTTCTCTCTACAGGTGGCTGTCCCTTCAACTTTTGCCTGTGTTTTGTTCAGTTGTCTGTGTCTGCGTTGGGCTCAGTGTTCTTAGTCTATTTGGGATTCATTCCTCTGTTTCCTGTGTGATCTACAAGGATTGCTTCCAGGTCTGCCACTCACCTTTCCTTCTGGATACCCTTCCTAAATTCTGTTTCTATTAAATTATATATATGCACACATGTGGGTATTGCTTTTGTTGGCACATCTAAGAAGACTTTGTTACTCAAGGTCATAATTTTCTTCTCCTGTTCTCTTATAAAACTTTCAAGAGTTCAATGGCCTTCCTTTTTACTCCATGCTGTTTTGAGTTATTTTTTTGCATGTGTTTGAAATATAGACAGGAATTGTGAGCCTGTGTCAAAGCATTTCAGTGTGATACGCTGATGAATCCAGCCTGCCTTTCCTATTGGAATTGCTTTTGAATATCTGTCAAAAATCGGGAGCCCTTACTAGGTGGTGGTGGTGCATAACTTTAATCCCAGCATTCAGGAGGAAGAGACGGGTGGATCTCTGAAGCCAGCCTGATCTACATAGTGAGTTCCAGGACAGCCAGGACTACCAAAACAAAAAAAAACAAAAACAAAACAAAAAACAACCATTTGCTCTGATCTGGGGATCTTGCTCAATGGTTGGAGCACTTGTCTAGCAAGCATAAGGACTAGAATTTGGACCCCTGGAAACTCAAGGATATACCAGGTGGTCGTGTCCAGTCTCAGAAGGCAGATAGGGAATCACCTGAGCAATCTGAATAGCAAAACTAACCACATCAGTGAGCTCTGGGTTTGATTAGAGAGCCTACCTCCATGAATAAGGTGGAAGAGTAAGCGAGAATGATTCCCTACATCAGCCTCAGGCCTCTGCATGCATGCGCACACAGGTGCATATGCATCCACACTCACAGGAGCAGCCACACGTGTGCAAAAAATGCATACACGCATACATGCACACCACACATGTACACATACATCTGTGCAGAAATTCCCATGAATGTCGCATTGTGTTCCACTTATTTACATTTCTTGGTTATATTGGCTATTTTCTCATTGCTAAGACCAGGACCATGCAAGAAGCAACTTAGGGAAGTTAGAGTTTGTTTTGGTTCATGGTTGGAGAGGGTACAAGTCCCCTCCTGTTGGGGAGGGCTTGACGGCAATAGCTCCCTGTGGAAACATGGGCAGGAGGCTGCTATGAACATAGTTGAACAAATGCTTTTGTAGTATGATAGGGCATCTCTTGGGTATATTCCCAAGAGTGGTATTGCTGGATCCTGGGGTAGGTTGATCCCGAATTTCCTGAGAAACTGCCAC